ATTATTAGACTCTTTTTTAGTGGGAAGGTAAAAGATGAGAAGGTAATTTAAAAATAAAAAATAAAAGATAAAAAAAGATGAGGAGGTAGCTTTGAGGATCATTGATATCTTGCTCATTCTTGGTTTGCCTTGTCTCTCTCACACACAAACACAATCAATCACAGCTTCACACTACAAAAAGGTGAGATAAAATTGAAGTAATCTAAGGCTCAGCTTTCATCAAGAAAGACAAACAAGGCCCATAATTTTGTACCGTTCACGTTACATAAAAAATATTACTACTACTATAAAGACAGCTCCATTATAATGGCGGATATTACTAGAACAAGCAAGGTTATTGCTTCTTCTCTTAAAACCAGCTTGTTTTCTTCTATTCTCATTTCCGTGATTCTTTTTGGTTCCTTCCTCTAATAGTAGCATATTATTTCAAGAAGCAACACATTCTAAAAAAAAATAAGAATAATAACTTTTTACTGTTCCTAGTATTTATATAGTATTTCAAAGCTACTATTTTTCTTAATTTTCTTGAACTAAAATGGCTGTGGCTATGGCTTCTTGTGGGATAATTTCTGGGATTCACACTAATTTAAAAGCAATTGAGAAACTGCCAATATCAAGTCCAGGTCTCTTCAGGGGTTCTTTTGGTTTGGAACCTATACAGAGAATATGCATTGCTCCTAAGAGGTAATTAATTACTTCCTTCCTCAGTCTCACTACTTTGTTATCTGTTTCTATTTAAACTTGATTAATTAATTGGCATACCAAACATTTGAAATTATCCATTTAGTTGGAGTTTTTGTGTGCATTCATTTAGTTATCTTTCATGTTCTGTTTGCAATTTGATGCTTATTTGTTTTCAGTGGTAGTTTCAGAATCTTGTTTTCTCTTTAAAGCAGTATTGAAGTTTTTGTCTCGGGGTTCTTGTCGCGGATATTTGAAACAGGTAGTAAAGTAAAATAATTCAAATTATAATAAAGGGCTGTTTGATTAAAATGGAGATGCAATGGGAATAATCAGGAATCCGTCGTTAATCATAATGAAGTTTATGTGATGAGTTTTTACTCATGGACTTGCTGAAATTTAGCAGTGGAAGAAGTTCATAAATTACCTTATACTGGAATCTATGTACTTTTTGGTGCCCTGACTCAGAATATAACCAACATTTTCTGCTATGTCAGATTAGCTTTTTCTGAGAGCACAATTGTTCCGAAAGCATCCTCAGCTGCAGCTGTTGAGGTATATAACATATAGCAATAACTCATTGGAAAAGCTTATTGTACTTGTTTTTTTGGTTTTCCAAAAATTGAGACATTTGTTTTTGATTCATGGGACTGGGGAATCAGGATGGAAGTTCCCAAGATACAGCAGTCCCGACGCCTAAAGTCATAATAGATCTGGATTCGAACCCTGATGCAACTGTAGTGGAGGTTACATTTGGTGATCGCCTTGGGGCTCTTGTTGACACGGTAGGATTCATTTTCTTCTTGATTCAAGTACTCAATATTATTGCTGGTAAATATTTGGAGTCATTTGGCAGCATATCTTTCTCGCGTATGGGCCTAACAATTGCTGAATGTGTTTACAGATGAGTGCACTAAAAAATCTTGGACTAAATGTTGTCAAAGCTAATGTTTGTCTAGATTCATCAGGGAAGCATACTACATTATGCATCACAAATGCGTAAGTCATGTTGAATTACTTTATGTTTTTATGCTTTTATGGAAATTCTGATTATTCTGTTTTTGGCGATTTTTTCAGTTCTACTGGTAGAAAGGTCGACGATCCAGAGCAACTAGAAGCAATTCGTTTGACAATTATCAACAATATGATTGAGTTCCATCCGGTAGCACAGCAATTTCAACCGTCGTACATTGGATGCTTGTTAAGAGTACCTCTGTGGTATCTTTTATTTGCTGCTTCTTCTTACTGCATAATTTCTGCTGCAGGAATCTAGCGCCCTGTTAGCTATGGGTGAAGTCTTTGGTGCTTATCAACCAAATCAAAAGGTTGTAAATACTTTGTCATTGCCTAATGCTTGTTAAATACTTCACATCAATACCTCTCCCTAATGCCATCATGAACGATGAAGGAAAACCTTGGCGCAACTGGTAAAGTTATTGCCATGTCACCAGGAAATCATAGGTTAGAGCCGTGAAACAGGCTCTTGTAGAAATGCAAAGTAGGGCTGTGTGCGGTAGACCCTTGTGGTCCGGCCCTTCCCCGAATCCCGCTCATAGCGGGAGCTTAGTGCATCCTTGCTGCCCTTTTTTTAATGCCAACATGAATGATGCAGAAACAGTAGTTTAACTTTTTTAATTTGACATTAACCATTTATATATATATTTTTTTTTATCGTTTCAGCTTGATGTGGACATAGCAACCCATATCCATGTCTATGACGATGGTCCTGACCGAAGGTTCGTTTATACAGTTTATTATGATATTTTTCGCCTTCAGACTAATGTTGATAAACACGCAGCGTGCTCATAAGATGCCATTACGTGCATAACTTGAAAGACTGATAGTAAAAACATTGCTGTTTTGCAGCTTACTGTATGTAGAGGCAGCAGATAGACCTGGATTAATAGTTGATCTCGTCAAGATCATTACTGAAATAAACATTGATGTTGAATCAGGAGAGTTTGATACTGAGGTCAGACTTTTACAACTAGAGTTGTTTCATCATTAAATATTACAGGATGTTTAGCGGCAATGTATATTAATACATTGATTTTGTTACAGGGATTGCTAGCTAAGGCAAAATTTCACGTAAGCTACAAGAACAAAGCTCTCATCAAGCCCCTTCAACAGGTAACTCGCGTTGTTGTGCGAAAGCAAATCCAATCTCATATTTAGCGATTTGTCTTCAATTATGAATCAGTGACAAACTTCAATATGTAACATTTCAGGTTCTGGCAAACAGTCTACGCTATTACTTGAGGAGACCAACAACAGAAGAGTCTAGTTTTTAATACAGTGCAGAATGAGAGAAAATAACCAGTTGGTTTAACCATGCAATTTTTTACTGTCGCAGCAAAAGCGTGCTGAAACATGCATGAAATCTGGAAATATAGTTCTCATTACTGCGCTAACATTGTAAAATGCTACCATTCTATACCTCAACTTAATTTGAATATACCTTTCGACAAGTGGAAAGAGCCATTTTACTCCCATTATCAGTTAAGGCTCATCACTGCCCAAATTTGAGTTTTCATCTTTATTTGATATTCAATGAAATAAACCTAGTGTAATCCCACGTTGTGGGTCTGGGGAGAATAGTGTATGCGTAGACCTTATGCGTACCTGATAGACCCTCGGCTCAGACAAGCATAGTATTGAAAATCAGTAATCCAATTAATTATCGTGTTGCATTGGATAAGTTCACTAAAGGGATAAAATGCTCTTTACCAAGGGATTTTTACACAAATAGCCGTCCATATTAAATATTTACTTTTTTAGCCATATACATATATTATACATTGAATATACATAATTATACACATATCATACATAAATTATGTATATACTTCCTCCATTCACTTTTACTTGGCACGTTTTGACTTTTCACGCCCCTTAAGAAATAATAAATGAAGTGCATAATTTACCATGATACCCATATTAATTGATGCATATTTTATTGGATTTGAGAAAATGATTTGAAATGAGTAATAAATATTGTGGGTATAATAGGATTTCTTTTTGTCTTCTTTTGATATGCGTAAAGTGTCAAGTAAAAATGAAAATCTATTTTTAGTATATATGCCAAGTAAAAGTGAACGGATGAAAAATTATACATTCACCAGCTATTTTTAATTTAAGTGATAGAGTGTGCGACTATTTGGGTTAATTCTTCTTTTATTTTCCGGACAAATTTATTGGTAGTCTTGTTAAATTATGATAATGGAAGGGGGATAATGAATTTTGAGGAGTTTGAGAGGATAAGGAGGGCAGAGTAAGCACAGAAAAATGGACCACATATTATTTATGGAAAAAGGATAAGTGAATCAGTGCAAATTGCACAGACAGCAGCCTTCATAATTTAAGATATTCTGCTTCTCCTACCATATCCCAAAACTCTTTTATCTTTATTTTATTTTATTTTATTTTTGTTGACGATATCAACTGGTCGTTGGAGGAACGAATTGATAATGTAAGCCAAGGCACCAATGTTTTAATTATTGTCTTGTTTATAATTGAAAGACTATAAAGCTTTTATTTATTTCTTCCATATACCGATGTCTTGAAATTTTAAATTGCTGGAACTTTAGACCAGCTTACTAGTTTGAATATTGTTAAGACTAGGTCTGCATGCATTATTAGTAGGGGTGGGCATTCGGTCGGTTCGGTTCGGTTTGAATAAATTCGGTTCGGTTATTCGGTTTTCGGTTTTGTAAATATGATAACCGAAACCGAACTGAAATAATTTCAGTTCAGTTCGGTTTTTTAAATTTCAGTTCGGTTAATTTTGGGTCGGTTTTCGGTTTGAACATTATCATATTGGCTGGGCTTATTCTGCTTAATAATTGGACTAATTTGTTGGTTGTTTCCAAAATTTTGGACTTTTTGAATGTGTTAAGTCATAAATATGTTCTTTTCAGTGTAAGCCTGGATTTTTGAATGTGCTGCTAATTACACGGTTTACACCTCTACTTGGTCCATACAAATACAAGATCCCACAATCATACAAACAAATATAAACTAGGGAGTAGGGAGTAGTTAGTAGTTACAACCAAAAGAGCACTACATTACAGAACCAAAAAACCAAAATAGCTATGCTGCTTTGCTGCCACTGGTTACAAGTTACAGCCATGGCCCATGAGAGAACAAAAAACTTAGAATCTATGCTACTTTGCTGCCATTGTTTAGTACAAGCATATTACATAACCAAAAGAGTAATCCAAAAGTTAGAAAGTTTTCATGCTACTGAACAACTGAAGTCTCAAAACCAAAGAAATAATTACATTAAGTAGCATGAAACAAGTGAAGTCTATTTACTATAACATCACTTCCATCTAGGCGCCATGATCAAACCTTTGCAACAAAAGACATAATTATAGGTCAAAAACACAATTGATTTATAATAAAGTATATCAATGTTATATCTTCAAATATACAGAAGGCTATCAACTTACCAGTTACCACACATGGTACATGTTGCAACTATATGTCAATAATAGTTGAATCTTTTGCACTATCAGCCAGATCTAAGGAAAATATAGAAGAAAACTTTGTCATGCATCATTAGTGTTAAGTAAACTATTTGTAATATAATAAAGGAAAGACACAAAATAATTACCAAGTTCTAGTTGTTCTAGATACTCCAAGTCTTCCTCAACTTTAATAGGAATAGGTTCACTTCTAAGCCAATCTTGAAGACAAATAAGAGATTGCACCAGTTTAGGCGTCAACGAACTCCTGAACGAGTCAAGAATGCGACCTCCCGTGCTGAATGCACATTCAGATGCAACACTTGAAATAGGAATGGCTAATACATCACGAGCCATCTCCGCAAGAATGGGAAATCTAGGCTCATTGATTTTCCACCACTTTAAGATTTTAAAGTCATCTGTTTCAGGCTCAAGATCTTCAGCAAGATATCTTTCTAACTCTGATTTAGTACCTAAACCTCCGGTCACTTCCTTATGTTTCTCAAATTCTAATTTTGTTCTCATTGTTCCTCTTTTTAAAAAGCTACCATAACCACTGACAGTAGTTGTTGTGTTTCCAGATGAAGCAGATGATGTTCCTATTGAATTTTTTTTAACATAATAATCAAACAAAGAATCCATATAATTTTTCACCTCTAAAATCAATTCTTTCCCTTTGTTTTCTCCAAACATCCTCACAATTGCAAAAGGAACATATTCAAGCTTGATACGGGGATCCAAAATTGATGCAATAAAGATCATTTTGTTCATTTTTTCAGGTTCACCCCAATACTTGACAATTTTTTCTTTCATTTTTTTTGCCATTTCTTTCAAACTAGTATCTTCATGTTCCATCCACTCTTT